CAGACGAGAATCCAATCGCCTTCATGGAAAAATGAACGTTCGCTTTGTAGCTTCTCATAACATTTATTAAAGATCAAACGCTGCGACCTACGCATAATTTTTTAATAAAAGCACCCCGTCCGACTTTGCATTGATGGTTGTCGGTGTCGGCCACGTGTGATTGTTTCAGAAACTCGGGGATTTCCAAGGGGTCGTGCGTTTCTTTTTTTTGGGGGGCGATCATTAGTGCTTTGTTCGAGACCCGATTTTGAGCACATTGTTGGGCGCAAAAAGGAAACTATGGCAACTGCGGGAACAATGGAGTGGCGGAAATAATAATATTGTGTGTTTTGTTAATAACAGAATCGTTGTATGCAAAAAGTGGGGAGATCTGGGACAATGGGATCGGTCACGAGGATGCGTCTGTCGGAGATTTATTACAAATTTTCCTGTCAAGATATATCGTTTCTGGTTGTATTGGAAGTGGCGGCGGGCGATATTAAAAATTGGTGGATGCGCCGGGATTTAAGTTTCCACGTCACGTTTATTAGGTGAAAGGTCAGAACTGAGTCTGTTTGCTGACCCACATTCTGCGCGGTGGTTTAACTTTATGGATTTGTTATAAAATAGGATTTAATTCGGTGTTAATTGAACGCGAAGTATCGATTTGGGTTGTGCAAGAGGGTCATCGTGTCTGCGTTATCCCAGTCGATGTACAATTATCCACACTGCCTACGCAAAGTTCGTAATTTGTGTCGTTATGGAATCACTGACGTATTCGAACAAATATAAAAGGGTCTGGATTGCATAAGTCCGCTCTTCGTAGGAAGCACGTATAAATATACTAGCAGAGTTCTAAACCGGTTTTTTTATTCGCACGTAACCTTTTCGGAAAACGATGACTTTGAATTTTTATTGACACGACAAAATTAAGTGCCGTCGCAACTGCCGTCGCAACATAACTTAATAAAAATGTAAATTTTATTTATTACTTTATCCATAGACATTAAGTTTGACCACAGGACGTGCGTTGCGTCAGAAAGTGTTAAGAAGTTTTATGCGAGGGAGCGGAAATCTTTTCGTTTTTTTAAGGCGTACTCCAATCTGAGCCGAAAGGAGAAACCGCAATATATAATATATATCACGAAATAATTTTCACGAGATTTTTCAGTTCAACGGACAATTGTTACGAAGCATGTAGGAAGACCATGAGCAACTCTTAAGTGGTTTAGAAGTTTCGTTGTAGAAATATTCGAAAATTGTGTCTTTAATGGAAACGACCTCCCACTCCTGTATTAAATTTCGTGGAGAGTGGTGGGCGTGGTCAGCATGTAGCTATCGATGTAAAGCCGCAAGCAAACAAGCGCGTTTCAAATAAGACTAATGTAGCCGTATTTTGCGATGACGTCATCAGTTGTCTGGTGGGGAGCAGTGAGCCGATTTCGGTTCAACTTTCCAACCTTAAAGTCCACTCGAAATTTCAAACTAATCGATGTTTCCGAAGTTATTTGTAATAAAACTGCCAAGAAGAGACAAATCGACGACAACAGAACGCGAAACTCGAGTGCAATACTTCCCTTAGTCGGCCAATGGTGAGCGTCTCGTTTTTCCCACCCCAATTGGACGAATCATCCCCGAACCGTTCCTCCCGCCCACGCCGACTCGGAATTAACAAAATTATGTATCGGTGCGCCGAAGTCACCCTAAATCACAGACTTCGTCACCCTCCGTTCCGACCTATTACTATCACTAGGTGTTAAATGCAGATAGATGGCGCCGTAAAAGCGTCTAATATCTCCCCTCATTGTTAATGCAACGTCGGCGGTCGTGTCGGTGTGTAATATAGCGTCGATTCCCACCCCCGAACCCACCCCCGAAGACCGGACAAAAACCCAATTTCAATGTGCCCCCTTCGCTCTCGCACATCACAAAGTGGATGATGTCGAGCGTCCGTATCGTGTCGGAATCGAATGTAAACCAAGATGACAGGGCGAAATTGGAACCGCCTCACCTGCCGCCGAGACGCCTCTGCTAATTATATTTATACCTGCGGCGGGTCTAAGATTAGACTCCAATAAGACATGTCGCTTTTTTTTAAAACGTTACTATTCGAGTCTCGACTGCCGCCTCGGGTCTGCCCGTTGAATAATGAAAAATGTGGAGATCTACGGCAAACTAATTAACAGTCGGGGGCGGTTTTAACTGGAATCGAGGCAAGATCACGACGAAATTATTTAAAACGCTCGTCCGGTCCGGCCGGGGGCGGCGGGTCGGATCCACCCGACTTGAACAAATAATATCCGGAGAGGCTGCGGTCGCAGAATATAATGTGTGTACAAGGTTTTCTTGATATTTTAGGGTGGAATTGTGCTCTTGTAGGGGTTCGAGGACTCTCATCTCGGCGTGTTGCGGAATTGAGCGGAGGTATTTTCAAAAAAAAAAAAAGAAATTAATTTTAAGTGAGTGGCGGTTGTTATGGAAGCGCGGTTTCGGTTTTTCGGCGTGGAGAGACAATTTCGGTGTGGGTGGGCGTTATTTTGTGCGAATTTGACGACAATGTTTGTGTGAGTGTAGTTAAAATTGGTTTTCAGATTCAGGAGTAATGTAATTTGGACTTGATAAAAAAATTAAGGGTGCTGACGCAATAAGCTAAATTTGGTGGATGCGCCGGGATTTGTTCCCTCGTCAACTTGTTTACTTTATTTAACCAAAGTTTTAATGAAAGAGGATCGTGAAAGATTGTTTTTAATTCGAAGCGTTTGCAGATTTCTCGGTCTGAATTGTGTGTGTAATCTTTGCGAAGATGTCTCTTAATTTTTCTCAGAGTGTTCTTTGTGTACCTCTCGCGCTGTCTCCCCCGCAAAAACGAGCCCATTCTCCGGATTCATCCTCTCGTCTCAAAGACATTTACGATATGACATTTTTTTCGAGTGCTCGGAATTACGCATTCGCTTCTGATCGGTCGTTCGCAAGACGACGAACTTATTGTATCGGAAATGTACAACTGGAAATATGATTTTTTTCCCGTCGTTTCCAGTATCTGCGCCGTGTAACGACACTCCCGCCGCTCCTAAAATGCGCATTACGAAATCCAGGACGTAATCCGCGCCTCGACTTAATAGAAAACGTGGCGGCCACGGTCCGGGAAAGGGAAGAAAAAATTGCGTGGCTCGGATCCACTCGCCAGATAACAAAAGTTCGGACGTGATTATGGCTTATTAAACTTCCGGTAAACGGACGAAAATATGGCAGTCTCGTTGTTTGCTCTTCTTTCTGTTTGTTCGCAACGTCTGGAATTATCTACTTTTATCGTGGAAGACTCGAGGGAAAAATGTTTATTACGTCCACTAAGTGCGGCCTGATAAATGTCTGTTGATACTTCTCCCGGAGTCGTGTTATTTTATTAGGGGCTCTCACGGGAGCCCGGCGGCGGCGATTTTTTTCAGGCGCGGAGGCGGCATCAATCAATTGTGCAGGATGCAGCGGTTCCCGGGGCGGCGTTTAATTACCATTATCGCGTAATCGTGGATTCTTTCCGGAGCATCAGATACAACAAAGGAATGTATTATTGATGGGAAAGCTATCGATTCGCTCCCTTTCGGTCGTTTGGAAATTCCCGAAATGTTACGGGTCGCAGCGGGAGCCCGGCATCACCCCGAATTTTTCCCAAGCGAGAACGTCGTCTTTGACGCCATTATATAATCACATTATTACACACGACGGCTTCCTCCTGTCACTGATTTCGAGCGAAATTACCGTCAATTAGCTAAATTGTGTCAATTAACGCGAACAAAGGCATTCGACGTGCTCTAAGCTTTTTCCAAACGGCGCGCTTCCGACCCAAGTTTCGTTTTTTCCAGAGAATAGTTGGGAGATAAAGGGCCTTACGAGGTATTACTCCCGACTCTTTTTAATTGCCTCGAGTTTCGGTACGCGAAGTAAGCCGCTCGGTGCCGATAATGGAAAAGTTGCGAGAGTTTCCGATCCAGAATTTGGGGTTCGGGTCGAGCGGTTTCTGCCAGCAGATGGCGAGAACTTGTTTCGCCATAAGTGTCGTACATAATTTTATCGCTGACATTTATATCACTGCTTTAATTTACTCCAAGTTCGGAATTCGCGCGGGCTTCATTTCGCCAGAAAACACCGTTTGTTATACTTAGAATACAATTTTCCGAAATAATTTCGCACATTAGGTAAATTACCGAACTTCATGTGGTTTATTAGCGAAGTTTGCACGCTAGTTTGTCAACAATTAACCGCGCCGGAGTCACGCCGAAGCCATTACGCCGCCCCTTTTTTGCCACGCCACTCCGTCCTGGATCGTACGATCAAACGGTGGACCAGAAGCCCCGCTACGACTACACACGTTTCGGAGTTGTTTACGAAAACAACTTACTGTTCTTTTGAAGTATTAGTCGAATGCGAACGTTTCGTGGGGCTGAAGCGTTTGATGTGGGTCGCGACATGTAATCCATCGCAGGAGCCCGTAGGTGTGACGAGATCGAATAATATCGTCTGCGGTAGGTAATACCCTTAAAAATCGGGCTTAGACAAGTAATCTCGTGGCGTTCTGCAGAATAAACGGGTTGAGTGTGACGCGTGTTTTATTTCTTGATGAATTTTGGATTTTGCGCCGTTAAACAAGAGGAAGCAGTTTTGTGTCCAGACGAATCCGCGGGGAAATCTCCTTAAAATCACGGCCTAATTCGGTCGGTATAACTACGGTTTCGCGAATATCTTATTCAATTATCGTGAACGTGCATAATTCGGAGGGAGGAAGTGGTGAGGGTCGGCGAAAGCGGGATTTTCTGCCAACAATTTATTTTGCTACGATGGAGAGCTACAGTCGGTAGGAATCCTCGGTCTCAACTAGCTACACTTATATTACACAACATATAAACATTTCATTTAAGTATTAGATACTGATTGAAAGCATTTTTTCCCCCATTTCCGGTTCGGTGAACCGTGTTAACTTAACACTAATTTTATCACAATAAGATCAGTGCAATGTGGCTCGAGAAGCGTCAACTTTGACCCGTCCGCGTCAGAGAAACGTGTCCCCGACACCCACTCATTTCGGCACTTTCACCTGTCACCTGTGCGGTCTCCAGGCGGTTTTGCGGTATTTGCACGTAAGCACCTTCTTGAAGGCCTGCCGGAAGACCTTGTTGAAAATCGTGTAGAAAATCGGATTCACCATCGAACTGGCGTACCCCAGCCACGTCACCAGCTGCACCACCCAGTTGTCTAAATTCTTGTCGCACTCGGAACAGAACGCCGGCAGAAGGTTCAGTATGAAAAACGGCGCCCACAGGATCACGAACGTGAAAAACACCACACCCAGCACCTTGGTGGCCTTCTGCTCCAGGCGGATGATCCGGCCGTGACGCGACGAGTTCCTCGAGATCACGCTGGAGTTGCGCGAGTGGTGCGAGCGGACGCTCTTCGCCGTGGTCGAAACGTTGTTGCAGTTGTACCTCTGGAGCAGACACGGCGACGACGGGTTCTTCCCCTTGTCCTTCAAAGTCGACACGCTGTGGCCGTTCTGGCGCAACGTCGCCGACCGCCTCAGCAGAAGCGGAGTCCTCTGGGTCGACCCCGCGCCGCTCAGGATCGTGGTTTTCGTGTTCCCGAAGCTGGACCCTGCGAACAAAGCGCGTGAGAAGCGTAAGCTGCGCCTAACCGCGTACGCTCGTACGCGGTAAACACGGGTCGGGACCGCGAAGCTCGGTTTCTCTCACCTCTGCGATGGCTCCTCCGCGACTCCCACGTCACCACGATGTTGTTCGGGGAGGAGTCGGCGCTGCCCTTGCTGCCGCGGCTGCGGATGGACTTCTTGAGCGGCGAGGCCGCCGGCTTGTCCACGTCGAGGGTGAGCTTGCCCGTCGTCGGGATGATCTTGACTTCGGCGGGTTTCGGAGGCGGCGACTTGTCGGATTGCTTGTCGCCGAAGTAGGGGCAGGTGCACGGCGGCGGCAGCGGGAACGGCGAGCTCTCCGTGGGTTCGGACGACAGCTCGGAGGAGGCGTCCGACGAGCGCACGTCGTGGAAGCTCGAGCCCCGCTTGCGCCATCTCGGCGAGGGGCTCTCGTCGCGCGTGTCGCCCTCGTGGAAGGTGGAGGCTCGGCGCCGCTTCGACGTCCACGGGGAGCCTTCCGGCGTTAATAGCGACGAGTGGGAGTCGGCCAGGCTGTCGGTGCTGCGTTCGCCCGAGCTGATAAATCACCGTTGCATTAATTTTGAGTTCGCGTGTCTCGGGTTTTTAATTGCATAATGAGGGGTCCGTCGTACGGCAGAGATAGGTATCTGGAGGAAGCGGTGATTTGTTTCGTAATAAAATTGTTTTTTGACCGGGATCGCTCGCGGGGTATCGATTTCGGGCTCCTCGAGTTAATTTTATTCGGGAAAGGGAGCGCGGAGTTCCTATATGCTCTTGAATGACAGAGTTAATTTGACTTTCAGATACGGCTTTCTAGGTTGTATTAATTTTAGATTGTCGTGTATAGTGTTTCAGACGATGCAGAACGAGCGGTTTTTGCTCGATTAACGACGGACGACGCAGGGAGAGTAACGATTTGTTTAATAATAAAACCGCTCGTTCGGTTAATAACGACCGTGTCGGAGTAGTCCATTTGAATATTCGATTGTGCGGTGCATTTCTGTGCCGGATTTTGGAGCTATCAAGCGACTAATTGTGTTTTGATTCGGTGCGGTAATTACCCGATGAGCCCGAGGTAAACATCGCCGCATCCGCGGAACAAAGGATGCGAACCGAACGGCTTAATGTGCCTGCGGAACGAGGGAAGGTGCCACTCGCAATAGGAATAACGAAAGCGGACGGAATTGCTTTCTTTTGTGGGACTGTCGCCGCGGAAGCAATTTTTAACGTTATTGCAACATGAATAATCGAACGTGGACCCCCGGAGTGAGACCCAGTTACCTGATTTTCAACGAAGGTGCGGCTTTGGGGGAAGCCCCGAGGTGCGACGCCGCTTCGAGACCCCGGGATAGCTTGAGCATCTCGGCCCCGAATTGACCCAGCGCCGACATGGTGCACGGCGTGGGTTCGGTTTCCTGGATCCAGAGCTCGTGGGTGTCTATGGTGGTGAGCTCGGTGTCGGTCGAGGCGGCCGAGTGGTGGGCGTGCTGCGGAGTCGACTGCTTGCTGGCCTTGGTGGCGTTAAGGAGCTTCCTCCAGGTGCATCGACGCTCTGGAAACACCACCGATGTACCTTCAAGTAGTGACATTAGAGAGTCGTCTGTCTCACCTAGGGCCGTCGTCGGTCCACCCATCCAGTTGCTGGACCAGTCCGGAGTCCCGAGGTTCTGGCGCTGCTGGGCGAGAAGACGGACCGTGAGGGCGTAAGTGACGAGCATCACCAGCAGCGGGATGTAGAAGCAGATAATGGAGCCGATGAGCTTGTACAGCGGATCGGGGATCTGGCACGTGCCGTCGATGATGAGGGAGTCCTGGTCCTGCAGCACGACGACCGTAAAACTCACGTGAATAAACTACGAGGATTCAGTACCTGGGAGTACATGAGGCTCAGGGGTAGGCTCATCGCTATCGACAGCAGCCAGACGAAGACGATTTTGAGGATGACGCGGCGTCTGGATTTGTTCCTGCCGAACTTCATCGGGTAGCTGAGGGACAGGTATCGGTCGACGCTGATGGTGCACAGATGCATTATCGAGGCCGTGCAGAACAACACGTCTAGACATATCCAAGCGAGGCAGTAGATCGAAGGCAGGGGAAAGTAACCTGAAAGAAATGTCGCATTAAACCGGCATTCTTGTTTGACGGATACACGTGCACGCGTGTGATCACAGCGGAATACGTTTAATTAAAAATCCCGGCGTTGTGGTTCGAGAGCAGCTTTTACAGCACAGCATCTCTAATTTGTATGGGTTTCCGCTAAGATAATTTCATTTGGCGCCGGGGAACGGAACAACAATGCTTTTATTCGAAGTAACGACAGAAGTGGTGCACAGTTTTTTTGCCGGAACAACTGACGCTTCCCTGCTTATTATGCCATTTCTCGAGGGGGCATTAGCATAAGCGAATCGAGAAAGAAGGTGAAAAGCTCCGAGATTTCAAAACAAAGACGTCCGAAGGGTTCGGATGCACGTAACCGCAATTCCCATTTTCCGGCGATCGCACAACGAAAGTAGTTTGTCTTTTTTGATTCGAGGAAATTGCGGGCCGGGATCGCGGTCCCAATTACGGGGTCACCACCATCGACTTGCTTGTTATTAAGTGTTGCAGCAATAATAATCCGGGCCAGCTGTCGGCGGTCATAAACCGAAACCGGCCCAGCTTCCCACAGCTCCGGATTCATTTTAAGCCCCAATCAATTTAATCCCATGGGCTTCCGTCCGACTTTATTACGTCACTAATCAGGAATCGGCGCTCGTTAAGGCATATAATGGGATTAAATTATGACGCTGTCGTTATTTGTACGAGGTTGTCAAATACACGGTCGCGTCGCCGGAAGTTGTTTTTTTTTTTGTTTGTGTCGGTCGGCGGGCCAAGAATCAAGACCTCGTGGAAAGAATAAATCTCTGATTAAATTGATCCGTAATTAATCTGAAACGGATTAAGTTCAGGACTTTTTCGGTTTTTTTCTTTTGCAGAAACGAAGCTAATTAATTTAAACGAATCTTGAAGAGCAATTTGGACGAGGGCGTGGGCAAAGAAAAAAAGTTTCGTTGGGGGATTCGGCTGTTATTAATTTTTGATTGGACGGAGAAGGGTAAACAAAATTGGATCGAATTAATAGGGTACGTCGGCGCTTTAATCTAGGATATTTTAATGGGGGGAAGTGCAGCAGCAGCAGCGATTAGGTCAATATTTATACCCTAGCCGAGTCATCGTCGTGCGGAAAAAGCGAGCCGTTATAGCGTCGAAGTTGTAGTAGCTGCGGTAATTGCCGCTAAAAGGATAATGAAACGTTTGATAAACGCAACTCAATTATTGTTTATTTATAGACAAAATTCGTGAGTAAAAATGTAACGAGCCGAACAAACAGATCGAACTCGACCGTTTGATTAACCCATTGTGCGCTTGATCGATTAATCAAACAAGCGGGACCCAATTATCCTGGGTCCGGCAACGTCGCAGGACTGTTAAGTCCTCGATTGAACGGCACCGGATTTAAATTCCGGACGCGTTTTCCGAAAGGTCGCGGACTTCGCGTCTTGAGGGAAAAATGGACCCACCGTGCAGAGGGAGTTTATGACCCTCCAGGAGCGACGGAATTTGAAACTGAAGGTGAAGGGCCACTTGCGACGAGAGCGCGAATCAATTTGCGTGTGCATTTGGCCGTCTCCGTCGAGAGGGCTCCGGATATTGCTGAGACGTACGGAAAGTCGAGTGCATCGAAGGAGTGGAAGGAGTTCCAATTATGAGTCCTTTCTGGTTTTATAAAGGCATCCGCGCTCTCGCTTTATTGCTCCCGATAATGGATGCAGTAATTGGGTTAATTTGTTTTTGCATCGGTTTTTACGGACGAGGGACGTTTCCAGATGCATCGGGAATCGATACTCGGGGGGCGATGTGATGTGTGTGCGGCGGCGGCTCAAAGGAGGGTCGTGAGGTCGTGATTTTCTCGTTAGATTCGGAAAACTATTCATAGATTTCGGATCGAGCTTTCTTGTTGATTTTCCAATTTGAGACGGCAATTTGCAACCGACGGCTTCTTAAATAATAACCGCATAAAGGAGGGCTCGTTCGATTCAAAGCCGAAACGTCCATGAAATATTTATTACCCAGGAGCTGGAGCGGCGGCAGGAAAAATTGCTTTTTATATGTTCTAAAATTTCGTTTTATAATGCCGCCGTACGCACAATACGGGGAAGCGCTTTGTATAACAATGTGAAAGTCGGGAAGGGACGAAGTGCCTCGAAAACTACCATCGATGAAAACTTAATTAACTAATACCATCAGGTCCGATTCGATTTTGAACGCTTAATCGGAGGACCGATCTAATATCCTTAATTTAAAACGGGGCGGTTTTTCGGCGGGCTTAATAATCTAGTCGACGCCCGAAACACACCCCAGGGAGGGAAATTTCGGGCCTGAATAGAGCGAGCGGTTTTGAGGGGATCATTTTCATTCATATTTTCTGTTTAGGCGAGCGTTTTCGCGATTTATCTTTCATTTGCCTAATTGTGGGGGTTTGTGACGGATTAGGGGCGGCTGGAGGAACATTCCTACGCAGCACCTAGGTGAAGTTCCCGCACAAAAATTCGACGCAATTAAACTTTTCCGTTCTCCGCGACACCCCCTTTCCCAAACTGAGCAACAATGATGCGTAAAAATAGCTGACGCAATCCCCGATTTTATCGCTTTCACCTCGCCGAGGAGGCGGCGTTCGCGCCGAGTTCCGCACACCTAAATTGATTCACGTCGATATGAAAAGCCCCAGCAGAAGCTCCCTAACGCACCTTGACAAATTCGGATTTCCAGTGGAAATACGACGTGAGTGTGGTTTCGCTTGCGCCGGAAAATTCATTTTTCGAGTCGTGGCACGGCGTGCTATTATGATCTCTTCCCGTGCGAAATAAGTATTCCGGCTCGTGTTTATCCTGGACAAACCTCCGAATCGGATTAAATTTTTGGGATGACGACTCGCCACCGGACTATTTAAGTTGCCGGAGCGCGGAAAGAATGCAGCACTCGGGTTCGGTTTGCTCCGTCGGCCGCGAAATTTAATAGAACTCGACGGAAGCTCCGGAGAGCCAGCCGAAAGTTTGCCTTGGGATTTGCGGCGTTGTAGTCCGTGCATAAGCGGTGCAGCGACCTTTCTGGCGATGCGTCCGAGCGGATAAATTGAAGCTCGCGCACAGTACAGTCGCCCCCAAGTGTCTGCGTAAATCGCACATAACGCCCGAATTTTGCAGCACACTTCCAAATTACCGCTTCATCGAGCGCACGTTTGTTGATCTGCATAAGCTGAACAGTCGCATTAAAATCCAAACGGGCGTTAAATCGCGGTATCAGATTCGGCCGGCATGGCGATAAAGTCATAAAATCTTTGCGCGGTTTGTGCGTGCACGTTGCTGCTAATGAAGCGATTTCGTATGTTGTTGTTGTAATTTGTTCAATATTGACTCGATGCGGCTGGAATTGTAGTTATAAGCACCCATACAAACACGACTCGGCTTTGTTAAAGCGGGGTGGATATTATTTGAACATTACGCGAAAAATTTACGGGAGTGCGTACGGGAAGTTTCTACACCATTAACTTTTTAAACGGCCATCCGTTACGATACGGTGGAAACAAGCGGGTTTAGATCAGATCCAGTAGCTCGATAGGCAGATAATGAGATAATCGCTTAACAGACAGTTAATCTCGGGAACAGGGGGGCTTAAGGATTTTTGAGCGGACGTATCGATCGCGGAAATTTGACGTGCAGGTGAAGAATGGAGCGCCAAGGAGGCGGTTAATATTTGGCCGGATCGGGTCGGGTTTCGCTCGTGCGTTTTGTAAAACAGAGTCGCTTTGGGTGTTGAATGTCGCATTACGTTCGCTTTATGTTGTACGAATGGCGCAGCCGGTGGGATTTCGGCTAGTTTGCGTTTTGGTTGTTGGCCTTTTAATTACCGCCTGATGAAGCTTGTCGGATAGTTCATCATGTTCGTGAGCCACCTTTTCCGACGGTGTTTTAAAACTCGATTAACTCCTATTTTTACCAGGATCGTTTATTCAGCAGCGTGGTTTCGATCGATCCTAGCGAAAATAGACGGGATCAATCCGTCCAGTCGATAAATTTCCATTTGCAGCGATTTTATTGTTTCGAGTGGATCAGCCGCAGGAAATTGAAACGGGACTAATATTCGAACGGGTTCTGAATGGATGCAGCGATTAATTCCTGCGTGGGCCGTTTTTTCGTGGGTGTGCGATAGTGCGTTTGATCCGGGGTATTACGGTCATATTTCAAAGCGGCTCTGGCTAGTGTTGAGATGTTTGCGGAGAGGAGCGAGGATTAATTGCCTGGAACTCCATTTCGGAGAGCGGTTATTGTTTCCGATGCACTTTTTGTTTCGTGGGGGTCGCACAATGGGAGAGAAAATAGCGTCGACGGTATATATAAAGAATTTCCGTTTCTTGAGGCAGACCTTAATATCGATCACGATCCGTACAATAAGGTGGACGAAGATAAAGCGGGCGTTTGCGGAGCACTAATTGTTCGTGCAGGTGAAATCAAGTTTGGCGGCTTTTTCGGCGGAATTTCGTAAACGCGTTAATTTCTCTCATTTCGCCCGTAAGAATTTGCCTAACCACCCCATCAAGCTCAATTTCCGAGCTTCTGTGAAGGCGTCGTCGTTATTTATGCCACCCTCCGAATAATCCGAGCCGCGATTAAATAATAATCAAAACGTCGATAACTCCGCTTACGACAAATTTGAATAATTAATCCGAGTTAATAATAACGATGTTTGGAACGAAACACGTTTAACGCGCGAGAATTAACTTTTTTTCCTCCGGAAGAATCCGGCCGCGGTCGCCTGAAATAATAATCCGTGTTCCATTCACTCCGTCACGTAAAAATAACCCTCATTATGAATTATTTTTCTCATCGATTTTCTTTCGTTTTTTTTTAATTTCTCCTTTCTTGTTTCAGGTGAGTGGATCCCGGTCGGACGCACGTATCAAAGAGGGTCTGTTTGATTCAATTAATTCTTATTTGCCTTCGCGGCTCCTTAATTCC